CATTTCATTTAATGAAGCTGATGCTTTTATCCAGAGAGACTTACATTTAGTACAATCAAATAATAATGAGGATACAAATTCAGATCAGCACAAATCCTGCAAGTACATTAGCTTCAAATCTTTTAAAGTTTTACAAGAAATGTCAACTCTTGGAGCAGTTACAGACTTCTAAGTGTAATCTTAAACATACCTTCCTTTTATACATTTTGTTTTTTTCCATTTTTTGATTGAAAGTACAAAAATATATTATACAAACACAAAACCAGTAACTGCAAACTGCTGGAAATGTTTTCTCTCTCCCCACACAGTTTGCACTGCAATCAGAACAGAACGTAATATAAATAGATTTAAGTGCATAACCGTGAGTGTGCCAAAAAAACCTGGCACACTCACCTTTTGCTTTTTAAAGTGCTTACGCCTGTGGTGAGTGAACATTACATTACATTACATTGCATTTAGCTGACGCTTTTATCCAAAGCGACTTACAATAAGTACATTCGACCAGGAAGACACAACCTTGAAGAAAACAGAATCATAAAAGTACATCAGGTTTCATAGAGCCAAACATTTCAAGTGCTACTCAACTGGCTTTAGGTAAGCCAGTCCTTTATTAGTATAAAAGTGCTTCGTTAATAGTTCTAACGCTCGAAGTGGAGTCGAAAGAGATGAGTTTTCAGTTTGCGCTGGAAGATGTGCAAGCTATCTGCCGTCCTGATGTCAATGGCGAGCTCATTCCACCATCTTGGAGCCAGGACAGCAAACCCACGTGTTTTCGCCGATGGGAACTTGGGTCCCCCTCGCAGCGAGGGCGCAACGAGTCGTTTGGCTGATGCAGAGCGTAGTGCACGCGCTGGGGTGTACGGTTTAACCATGTCCTGGATGTAGGAAGGGCTAGATCCATTCGCAGCATGGTAAGCAAGTACCAGTGTCTTGAAGTGGATTCTAGCAGTTACCGGAAGCCAGTGAAGGGAGCGGAGGAGCGGAGTGGTGTGGGAGAATTTAGGAAGGTTGAAAACTAGACGAGCCGCTGCATTCTGGATGAGCTGCAGAGGTCGGATGGCACATGCAGGTAGACCAGCCAGGAGGGAGTTGCAGTAGTCTAGGCGTGAGATGACGAGAGCCTGGACCAGAACCTGAACCTGAGTCGCTTTCTGAGTCAGCTGGGGACGTATCTTCCTGATGTTGTAAAGCGTGTATCTGCAGCAACGGGTTGTAGCAGCGATGTTTGCAGTGAAGGACAGGTTGTTATCTAGGGTCACACCCAGATTCCTTGAACAATTAATGTAAGCACCTGAGAGTCTTTGCAGCTCGCTTCATCAACTGGTTTGTATTAGAGTATTTTGAATATCAATTCATTTTTGTATAAGTTATCAGTTAACAGAAGTTATCTCATTTTAGTCATAAAGAGCACATGTAGACCAAACTCTTCAAGAAAAAGAGGTGAAAGAAGTACTCAGATGAAAGTAAAAGCAGTAACACTACAGTGTAGAAATACTTTTACAAAATGACAAAGGTAATAGCATCAAAATATACTTAAAGTACCACAACTAGAAGTACCCATGTGCAAAATGGCCATTTTCGTAGAAATATGTATCACTGGATTATAATAATCGATCCATTAATGTGTACATCTTTTTTAAATTTACATCTGGTAAAGTGTGAGCTAACTTCAATTACCTTTTAAACTGCCAGATATTCATTTATGTTTTGCATCAATTATATGAACCTGCAAAGTAACTACTGATCAATCTTGTTTAATAAATGTAGGGTAATAAAACATTTATGGCCTCCAAATTGTAGTGGCATAGAAGTATGGAGTAGCCTAAAATGGAAGTACTCAAGCAGGGTTAGGTTTAGGGTTAATAACGTGTGAGGCTGATCATGTGCTTCTGGTTGCAGATCTAGGGCACAGCTTTGCTCCTTTAGTGTTAGTTCTCAATATTTCCTCTTTAAGAGTCATCTTAATGTGTTAGCTATTGAAAAAAATACTGAAGCGGCTACAGTCCTAGTAGTAGTATCAACCCTCTTGTCTAACTCCAGAAGCCACAACAGAAAGCAAATAAAGTCTATTTCCCAAAATGTCAATCTTTTAAATTCAAGCAACGTGTTTTAGCGGAACATTTTCAGGTGTATTACTGAAAGACAACGATCAGCAGGCTTGTGTCAGTGAACGTCTCATTGAGAAGAGGCAGCGTTCGTTGTGGCCTATCTAAGAGGCTCAGCGTAGTGTGTGGATGACGCTATCCTTACAATCACAGAAACCCCATTATCAGTACACACTGACATCACTCAGCCTTCCACAGCAGCAACGCAACACCCATCCCCCCCCCCCCCCCCCCCCACCCGCCTAAAGCAGCACAGTCATTGTGTTCTCCGGTCAGACCATTGTCTGTGCGGGGGAATGCGGGACAATGTCGCCAATCTCTGTCCAAACCATGATCCAACACTGCTATTGTGACCCGTCTTTTTCCCCAGTTAACCAGTCAAGATGGTGTCCCCGTCTGATGAGAGGAGTAGGGGGGGGGGGGGGTCCTCTGTCCTGCCTGGTACTGAGGAAAAGAGGGCAAAGATTATAAATCTGTGACGTTAGTACAGTGACTGTTGATCGTAAGAAGACATGTGGACCTGGTACATTCACTGCACCAAGCCTGAGTGTCAACACCATCATTACCTCTCTTCACAGAGTGAGTATTACACAGTGGAGGTCAAGGCTGGGGGTCCTTATCGTCAGGATCATTCTTCCATCTACTCTGAGAAGAAGGCCATCCCTGACAGGAGCTTGATCAAATAAGATTCACCCCCTCACCATTGGAGCTGGATTATTTCTTCATGAAAATCATGTTCTTTACAGAATGAAGCAAGAAGGACAAACTACTTGAGCATTTTCTGAAGGCACTATTGTAATGCTTTGACAAAGGTTGCATGATGGGAGGCAGATGGAGGAAAGCGGGAGATGTCACTCATCTAACACCAAGTGAGTCTCCACAGAAGCCAGAGAACAGTTATATAAAACAAGGTGTCATGTTCTTTTTACAGCTTGAAATCATCCATACCTAGCATGCAGTCCTTCTACCAGCCCCGCCACATCATCCGTCACCCCCCAGCTCTCTACCTCGACCCCACACTGATGCAGCGGCGTGTCCTGGAAGATCAAGTGGAGCTGTGGTGGTTCAGAGAGCCCCGTCGATCCTTACTGTGCTACCTTGCCTCTGTGGCCCTTATAATGGGGCTGGGGCTGGGTGGCATTGGCCTCCTCTCCACCACCACCAGCCTGTCCGGGGAATGGCGCCTCTGGGTGGGCACTACCCTCTGCCTCCTGGCTCTGGCTGTTCTTCTCAAGCTTCTTCTCAGTTCTGCCATCCAGGACATGAACTGTGTGCACAGCTGGCGTCGGATCGACCAGCTGAAGAGCGGGGGGAGGGCCGACCCCGCGCTGATGTTGGCCGTGGGGCTGGCAGTGATGATTTGTGGGACGGTGCTTCTCTGCATGGCAACAATTGGCAGCCAAAGTCACGACAGCAAGGAGATGTTTGTGTCCAGTCTGGTGTTGATGGCTGCCGGGGCGGGCATGGTTTTAGCTGTGGTCGCCTACAACGTGGTGTTATACATTGAAAGAAGAAGGGAGCAGAGGAGGAGGATGATGATGAGGATGAACAGAGCGAGGGTGCTGGGAAATCGGACTGTCAGGGTGTTCAGCGTCTCAGGAGGCCCGGCCAGGAGAGAGACATCCTCCAGCAGGACCAGCCTTATCTGAAGGACTAATGGGCAAAATCACTCAAAAATAAAAACTGTTTTAGTTCCTTTGAAAGGACTGATCAGAATACATTTGTCCTGCGGGCTTTCAAACAACTAAATAAAGAAATACATTAAGGATTATTTCGTTCTATTTAGCCCTAAATCAATTCAGTCCTTTTCCTTTGGCATACAATATTGTAATTTTGATCATTAAAAGTATACCTCCAAATAAGCTGCAGCACTCCATGCTTTAAAGAATGGCTACATTTTGAGGAAAACGTTTGAAACATGATTACATGAGTACATGAAAATAAAGAGTCAGTAAGGTGTTCAATCAAATAAACAACTATTTCTGTGTTGGATTCTCTGTATGTTTTTCTACAATTGACTCAAATCTCACAACTGTTGAGATGCCTGCCGTGAAAAAGATTTCTGGCTTCGTGTTATTTTTTCAGGGCTATACCGACCAACTGGAAAAGCACAGTGTGTTTCTCTTGCTGGTACTGCATGTTCCACTTATATTTTGTACTGCTATTCTCTGCTTGATTAAAGTTTTACAAATGAAAAACCACAAAGGATCCTAAAATTCCTCATATTAAAAAGAGTCATAATTCACCTTATACTATTATATAATGTTGGTCTAGTTGGAAATATTGTTTAGGTTGTAGGGGGTATTTTTTTCAATCTAGAAATGAAAGACTGTCTATGATTTGAAAGCATTTTATTTTTTAGGTTTTACAACAGAGATTCAAAACTTTTATTTTCTAGTTGTGGCAAGTGTGACTTTGTATGCACTCTTCAATTGTAGCTCTCAGTGGGGAATGAGAGCACATGTTCAGAAGTCTGTTCTGTCCTGACTGTCAGCTGACCTGGCGCCTGTGTCAATATTAACATCTGGTGAGCGGTGCATCTTGATGTTTTGATGAAAACCATTGCATTAACCTATTGTTAGCTTAGAAGAGCTGCCCGAGACTTTGATGTTCTGTATCATTTCCAATAAATAAACCACATCTAACATTCCCTTCTAACCAAGCTAGTTAATGTAAGCATAGCATAGCTGCTATGCTGGATGTTTGCATTAATGTCAGCAGGTAGTCTTTTTGATTTAATAACTAGTTTTTCTGCTCTCTTTCGTCCACATAGCGTCCTCTGCGCCAAAATCATCTTTAAGACCCCAACCGGTGGAACCACATGTCCATCTAATGCTAACTATTGTACCGTGGCTCATTATGGATTAATGGCCCACTGAAATAACACGCTTTCAATTTGTTATTTTAAACTCATTTTGATTTATTGTTCAAAATTGCACAATGCATGTTCTTTTTGTGCAGTGATGATCGATTCTACAATGGTACAATATTGTGTTTCATATGGCACAAACTAAAAGTATACTGAAAACTGATGTTCTTAGTTTGAAATACAGTAACTGGATCAATCATTTAGTGAATACTAATAGCCTACTTAATTTGACAACAGACATATTACAATTCACGGTTCATGAGTCAATGAATGAATACGCATTGGAATTGTAAATAATATATTCATACAGTAAATGATTTGTAATCATTGATGAACACTGTACATAGAAATTCGTTGAAATATTTGTTGCTATTTTACATGAATGCAGGTTCCTGCCTACCACACAGATTGGATACTAATCAAATTAAATCTGTAACTTTCTGCACATACATCTAATGAAAAAGTGTCAAGTTGTTTTACCTCTTTTTTGTTAATTCGTTGCCAACATATAATCAACCACCCACCTAATTTCAATATGAATAAAAGATGACTAACAACACTACAAGTGATTCGCAGGTGGTATTACAATTACTAATAAGCAGAGTACAAACAGCAGCTTCCAACTGTTTGGAAAAGGATATACAAACAATACATTTATTTTCAAAGAATTACAATTTTCAGCTTGAATTGGGACTTTATCTCTGCATACAAGGAAAATAAATGGAGATTAATTTAAAGGTAACATTTTGATTTACCAGATCGTTTTAGGAATAGCTTGCACAACAAAGGGCAACGTATATAGTATATGAAAAGATGAACAAGGTAGACCCAGTGCAGTCAAAACAATGCCTGTCCCAGTACAATAAAGGTTTATGTTATATATTACACTGTGCATATCATCTCTTCTTTTTTGCTTCACTGAATCCTGCACCCAGCCTTTGGATACAACTACTCAAATTAACTCAAAGAAAGGCAGTAACATCCTTCAAAAACATCAATTTAGTTCATTCTTGTTATAACTATCATCATATCATACTATTAAAATGTGCTGATTTTGTACACAAGTCCAATTGTTATTGCCGCTTTGGAAGTTTTGAGGCAACTGGGGCTCATTCAGTTTTGACATTGATTAGTTTTCGGCTCAGTACTCCTCGAAGGTCAGAAGATAATATAAGGGCCCAAAATGACTTTCCTTGTGCCATAGTGCTTCCCTAGATTAATTTAAAAGGTCAAGAGCTAGGAAGGTTCTGAATCAGAGCTATTCTTCTGACTTTCAATCAAAAATCTTCTCTATAGAGTCCTTTATCAGAGAAGTAAAGCCGCTTTTCTGATGAAGTCTCCCTCTATCCGATCATGCTATAGTGAACTGAAGATCATCGTCGCTGTCTTCTATCCCTTCCTCCTCCTCCTCCTCCTTTCTCTCCCTCTCTGCCCTGTGTTTCTCACTGGCCTGGATATAGTTATCCTCGATGAAGCCATCATCATCGTCATCCAAACCCCTCGGATCCCCCCCAGACCCCTCTCTTATTCTACCCATCACACTGTGAGGGTAGGGCAGCTCGTCCTGACCGTACTGGCTAACCCCGTCGGCTTCTTGGAGCAGAGAGTGTCTGTAGCTGGCCAAGAAGCGATGGAAGAGACGAAACTTGACGGTCATCACGATGAGGAGCGAGATAGTGAGGGCTGTGCCGAGGCCCGCGGCCATATAGGACCAATCCAATGGCTTTGTGCCCTCGTCTGGATCAGCCGTCCCTGGGAACACAGCAGGAAACAAACTTTATTGCATCTACGTTAACACTTCAAATTGTTTCCTGTACCTTGAATGTTATAGAGTTCAAAGTTCTTGAACACACCTGGTTGTAAATAGTTACATGATGGTAACGTTTTGGAAATACTTACTTTGTATTTTAGTACCATTACTGAAAGGGTCATCTTCTTCCATCAAAAGATGTCTCTGACTGCCTTTGTGTCCCCCGACATCAGATATAGTAGCCAGATGTACCTCTCTGATGAAAGCTCCACTAACACAGAACAGCACAAAGAGGCTGCAGCTCCACAAGCCCATCTCTGCTTTCTGATGGAAAACGTGAAGAAATAACGTGATTACTGAAGATCATGATAGGGTTTTGGGAGAGGCTTAAACTAATTCAGTTAATTTGGGGGTACAGAAATCCCTTTTGTGTAACCCTGTCTCCTAAAAATCACGTCCATTCAGCAAAACGTCATTCTCAATTACAATCCTCCCAGATTACAGTCGCCGTTAGTACGCTTAGTTAGAAACATTTAAATAAAAACAGGTTGATAGGTTCAGTAAAAGATCATGGTTTAGGTTAAATAAGTATGTTTGTACTTCACTAAAGTCACATGTGTAAGTAGACTGTAGACCAGGGGTGCCCAACCAGTCGATCGTGATCGACCGGTCGATCGCGGGAAGATTCCCAGTCGATCGCGAGATGTGTCTAAAAATAGAACAACAATATTCTGTTTTATCGTTAATGTCCTATAACATAATCTTCCTGTGCCAGAATAATGCACTTGAACGCATCAAAGCTTTGTGATTGGCCGGCGTGACCCCATGTGTCGGGGCGTGGCTGGTGGGCAGTGAGTATTTCGCTGACGTTGTCCGTGTCAAATTCAACAGGAGTGACAGTCCGCACGCCACACACACAAGACAGCAATTATGGCAGAAGCAAAAGAGCCCAAAATATATCATTTTCACTCCGAGTGGGAGGATGATTATTTGTATCTATTCCAATTCAAAGTCCATCTGTCTCAGCTGCAATGCGATCGTGGCTTTATCGAAGAAGGGTAATTTAGGAGCGGCATTTTCAAAACAGTGCACAAACGCTACGAGACGGAACTCCCTCCTAATTCTGCCCTACGCTCCCAAAAGGGGAGGGGCCTGAAAGGACAGCTAAATGCACAGCAGTCCATTTTCACCAGGCCCAACAACAAGAGCAAGGCTGCTACCAGAGCATCTTATCGTGTCAGTCACGTTCTTGCGAAACACATGAAGTCTTTCAAAGATGGCGAAGTTGTGAAAGAAGCATTCCTGGAGGCTGCGACGCGCTTTTTGGGGACAGTAAAAATAACAGAAGCATTTCAACAGGTTTTTGATATAATAAAAACTCAAGTTGGATACCGTTATTAATCAGCTGTAAGTTTTAGTTTGTTTGAACTTAGTCATTATAATTATTGTACAAAATGGTATAAGAATGCAAACTTAAATTGATTATAGTCTATTATCAATTCAGGTTAAGAAACTGTTGCTTGCATCCTATTTTAAAGGCATTTATTTTTATACTCTACTAAAATGCAACAAAAAAGGGTTTGATTCTATTAATTTTGTCTTTTTTATTGCACTTTGGCAGCAGATTCCTGTGTAGCTTCAGATCTGAGTTGTCTTATTAGTAAGCCTAATTTATACTTTTGTACCAACACTATTTTTATATAATGGCAAAGAAAGGGTTCAGAGTCTTTTCTTTCTTTCCTGTGTCATATGTGGCAGCACTGTTCAATGTTTCTTGAAAACATTACCCACTGTAGTATGTGACGTGTGAATAAACTCCAACTCTGTATCAACAACACTGTTGTGTAACTTCAGTTAAATACTTGTATGTGTGTAGATTAGAAAGAGGTAAGATAAAGGATCTGCAGTATTTTATGAGGTATTAATCGTACAAAGGTCAGTTTTATACAAGTAGAAGTGTGTATGTATCTTGTAGTAGGCTGTCAGTAATGGCTACGCCTCTCTATTTGGACTGGTAGATCTCGGCAGACTGGCAACTTTAAAAGTAGCTCTCGGTTCAAAAAAGGTTGGGCACCCCTGCTGTAGACGATTGTTATGAACGTTACAAACTCCTCCCTATGTGGACTTTGTTTAGAAACAAATTTGTGATAGGCTACTGCTAAAAAACAACCCGTCTTCGAGAGTAATTTAGCTTCCCTCGAAACATCATGAGAATGCATTTCTGTTCCATGGAAACATTTTATGAGACCAGCCCATTTCGTGTTATACCCTTCAGATCAACAACGAAAAACATAGCTGGAAATCTGCCAAAATAGGACTTGTTTCTCAATTAGTGAGAATGCATTTCAAGGCCAAATGGGGAGGTAATATCATCCCCTATCACTAATATTGCATTAATTATGGAAGGAAGTAGCAATAACAGCAACCAAATCACTTTTAATGTACATAAATATGAGATTGTCAGTTCATTTTTTGAAAAGGAGGAACCCATCCCTAAAGTAAAGGCTGATGGGACATCCCAACACTTGCAGTGAGAAAGACATACTTCGTTTTTCAAATGACATGGCCAATACACTTTTTATTGTTTTGCCACTATCATAAAGCTTTCCAACAACATCGGAATGTAAGACGGTATCTGTTTCTCAATTGTTTTTATCTTTTTTTTAATTTATTTAATTTTAAACAATATGTTTATTCATTTTTCATTCTTTTAAACAACAAGACACACCATCCCTTACAAAACTTACGACAACAAAACATTATTGTTTTTATCTTTTCATCCTATTTTAATCTAGAAGATTTGATTCGACACTACAAAATGATACAGCACCAGTGTCGTAATCACCATTTAATGATGAACTAAATCCCCAAAATATATGCAACCAACACTCTCCAGTGTGCTGTGATGATCATTGTTTGTGTAATATTAGCTAACAGGTGCCTTTAAACAGCCAATACTCACAGCTCTTTTGGTTCTGGGAAGGACTTTCTAACAAACAATTTCACCTGAACCAAAATCATACCTAAAATATTGACATTAAATAGTCCCTGCCTTCTCACAGAGAAACTGTCACATGATGTTTGGTAGTTAACGTGCCTGGTCTAGAGCAATATTCATGATTATAGTCTTGAACTGCTTACTTATTAACTTTGAACATAGCATATTCCAGAGGAGGAAATACACTGTAAATACTGTATATTTCTGCTAAAGTTATATCAGTTCGCACAAAGTAGCTGTATCTCAATTGACCACTGGTCATATAAGAACAACAGACCCAAATAATGTCCAACCTTTGTCACAGAGGAACACATACAGTATTAACCCTTAATTTTAAACAATCTACAACAACACAAACAAGTCTAAAAGGACTTACCTGTAGAAAATATGATAACCAACAGAGTAATTCTCCTAGACCTGACTTTAAACTGCTGTTTTCGTCTTCCTCTTCAGCTCCTAAAGAAAAGAATAGGAGACTTCCTGGGCAAAGGTTGCAGGACATCCCATAATACCACCCTCCCTGCTCCATGCCCTTAAGACAGAGATGTTAATGAGTAACTTTATTAGGTTTGTCATCCATTTCCTTTTCACTATTCCAGTCAGTAGTGAATGTAAATGCGTTTTTATCTTCATTTAGTGAGTGAAACCGTTTAAATGTACTATTTCTAAATAGAGGTCAATCATTATAAATTCAGGACAAAAAAGACCATGGCTGTATTTAAAGTAAATCGTGCATCTATACTCAAAGGCCAGATTTATTATGGAAGATCAATTCTGTCAATGGATTTTTTTCTCATATAAAGCCTTTTTTCTTTCTTGAACCACCTCCAACTATGGCTATGGCTTTAAAAGCACATACTTTATTACAAAAGGACTTAATCTGATTTATTATTAAAGCGCACTCAATGCCATCTTCTCTCACCATTTGGCAGTGGTGAACCGTCAGGGCCTTCAAGGTATTCAGAGAATACCCTGAAAAACTCAGATAAAACCAACAAAAAAATCGATTTAATTATATAAATAACATTTTATAAAATGTAAATAAAATTAATAAATGAGGATCGTATCTGTGTTGTTGATCTGTAATATTACAGTGTTACTTTGATTTTGTTTGTCTTTCTCAGTCCATGCACTACGCATTTGAGTGTGTGTCTACAGAAGGTCCAGTTGTGATAGACACGGTTCTCCACTGCCCTTTGAAATAGGGAAAATATCTTCAAGAGAGCTCTACTTTAAGCCTTAGAGTGTGAATCATGAGTCTCTTGGCACCTCATTATACACCTTGCATTTCTCTTCACCACAAATAGAGCATTGCTTGCCAAAGGCTCCCCAGGGATATCCATCAAACAGTAGTGGCGCGTGAGCCTTCAGAAAAACACAAGCTTTCATCCTTTCTATATTTAGTGTGAATGCTGTGAGCTTTGTCACACCGATGATGGCCCACAGACCCTTTCAGGGTTAATGAATAGTGGATAGGAGAATTCAAAAGGATTTAGTTGAAGAGACTGCGGTGCTTTGAGAATCCGACTGCACTATTGACGTATTTATGATGCGCCAGCGGACGTCATGAATATGCGTCTGCTGCTCTGGGGAAACTACAGTTTTCTATACAGCGGACTACATTGATAATAAGAACAACAACTATTGTAAACCCAGCGCCGTATTCTATCTAGATACTTTGCACCGCGCTCTGGTGGTGTTGTTTTATGCTTTATGAACGGGGACAACAGAGAAACAAATTCTTCGTTACCAAGGATGAAATTGAAATAAAAAGGAAAGTGAAACTTATGCTCGTCACCCTCACCCTCCGGTCCACATTAATACAAATGATCCCAATACGTATGATTGTATGAAAAGATCCTAAAATAAATACAAATGTATTTATTATAAACTTGTTAGTCCTTAACATCTATCACTGTGTATATCACCATTCAAGCATATTTTAAAAGTTGAACAAACCCCACACAGCTCAGTAAAGACTGAGAGATGTTGACTTTATTTGATCATTTCAGTAAAAACTAACGTTCATATTTCTCTTTTTGATTATAATACTGATGAACGTTCAAAACAAAGCACATTGGTTGATTTTGGACCCCCTCACTATTTTTTAAAACTTTAATTAAATGTTTGATAAGTGCATGCAGATCACAGTACAGTATGCTCGTTCAGTAAAACATGTAAACAGATTCATTATTTTGTATTTTTATTGAAGTACTTTATCTTATTCAATTCAGAATATGATTATATCCGTGACAGTGGGTGTCGTTTTTCTCATACTGATATTCTGAACAATCTGTGCTGTTGTATTTGCTGTAAAGTATCTCTACTGTAGGCTATTTTTATTATATGTACAGCACTTTGGCTCGACAAAAAATCGTTTATAAATGTGCTATATAAATTACATTACATTACATTTAGCTGACACTTTTATCCAAAGCGACTTACAATAAGTACATATAAATAAAACTTGATTTGATTTGACAGTGGGAATCAAAACCAATATGCTACAGTATAGTAATACAATATAAATCCCACTTGTTGTAGCCTACCTGGCAGAGCAAGAAACACTCCACCCTTTTATTTAAACTTGTTTAAAACATATCTAAAAAATATGTGTGTCCCGGGCCATAAATGCAATTATGCTGTCAGTTTCAGATAAAGCCACAGCATCACAATTCTTCTGTATTCTACAATATAGTTATTTTCACCTCCCGTATTGCTTTCAACCCACCAGCTTTTGTGGAGAAAATAAGTTAACCAGAGGCATATTTCTCACTATTTTATGCAAACAACAGGCTACTGTGTGTGTGAGGAATCAGCTGTTTATTTCATATGAGTTCCATTGTGGCAGCGTCCATCACTGTTCTCAATACACAAAGACAGCTAACTGTAAGCTTGTCACTCAGAGGGGGGAGGGTGCTGGTGAACGGTATGGAGAGGCGAAGTCACGCCCATCTACTTCCGGACCATGGGAAACATTTACATTGAATTCAATGGAGAGAGAACACGTATCTTTTGATCCCGTTTGAATTGTGCCACGAACTACACATATGATGTTTGTCAATCTTAAACAATCATTTCCATGTCAAAAAAGTCACATTTTGTCATAAAACTGCTGAAATATAAGACTATGAAAAATACGCTACTACAAAGACTACAAATCCCAAATCCCATTCTGGGTCGCGTAAGTGATGTCACAGGCATGCTCGGTGATTTATAATAAGACTCGTAATTAAAGCGAAGAAGAAGAAGATCTCATAACTGATTTATTCCCTCCAATAAATTATAGATCGCTAAAAATAAATTCACTTTTACAAGATGCCTTTGTGCTTTGTACCAGGTTGTAGTCATAAAAGTGATCATACCACTTGCTCCTTCTATCGATTCCCGTCTGATGAAAGGACCAGGAGTCGCTGGATCAGACATATCAGGTAATATCATAGCTAGGTAATATACATGTTGTGCATGTTCATGTGCATAGTCAAGTTAGCTACCTAGCTAGTAGCGACAAGTAGCGAGCACGTTAGTTAGCATTACTTTACTTAGCCTTGTCATATAAACTATTTATATAACCATGTAATACAGTTATGTAGTAGTTCAGTAAAAGTAATTCTTTATTTATATGTCTTAAATATCCTTTATTTTAGAGGGGCCTGAGACTTAACATGTTCATTGCCCAAAACTGCACTGTAGTTATTGTGCATGTGACAATAAGGCCTTAATATTAGGGCTGCACGATATCAGGAACACATAACACGATAACACTTGCTATATTTGAACAAAAACGTACACATGCAGCATTATTACTTTTCCAACAACATTGGATTTATTGTTTATTAGTTAAATATCATGTGTGTGTGTGTGTGTTTATATGTCCTCTCTACTGGCCAACACAGGGAGCATATGCTGAGTGTAGAAGTTCTCCAGGAGGAGATTTCCATGCCATGCAGGGTCTTTGGGGATGGGGATGATGATCGCCTCCTTCGTGGTCCACACAACAAAATAGCAGAGACTCCGGTCTGTGATGTGCAGCTGCCCTTGGACCTGGTGCCAGTATGGGTGATTCTCCTTGAGAACATAAGACTCACCCTCCTCACGGAGACAGAAGGATGGTAAGTCATGTGAAATCATCTTTACATACTAGAAAACTGTAGGAGCGGCAACTTGTTTTGAAATTGAATTTGTAATATCCGATAATAAAGTTGATCTGTTTTCTTTATTCTTCTCTCTTCCCAGCTTCATCCATCACCATTCTCTGTTCATCCGCGGAGAGAGGGCTTAGACCAGGGATCACCAACTACATTTGTCCAAGGGCCAAAATGTGTCCAATAGACACTATCGCGGGCCAGCGATTTGTATATAGCCCAGAAAGGGGGGGGGATTGCATTATTTGTACTGTCTTAAAACCTTTCCTTGGAATATGTTATGAATTGTAAGGTGTCCTTGGGTGCTTTGAAAGGCGCCCCTAAATAGAATGAATTATCATTATTATTATCTGAAACGATGTAATAACTTTTCCCAGTCACTTGCCCCATGCATTCAGCAGCAGCAGGCCATTCACTTTGATTTGATCCCGTTATGAAATGTCATAATTTCGACAATAAAGAAATGCTACATAAACGTTATCTTGCACATTTTATCCAACCATCTCCGTTTCTAACTTTCAATATATTTTAAAAGAGATCTCTCTCTCACCTGCGTGCGGGGGCGGGGCCTCACAGACACGCTGCATCTCTCTCTCGCTCACAGACATGCTGCAGCGCTGTGCAGTGTGCACACAGTTCTGCCGGTAATGAATATTACATTTTGTGAGGAAACTTTTCCACCAATAATTCCAATAAGTATTCCAAAATGTATTCACTTCAGGTTTACGAAAATAACTGTAATCAGATTACTCGTTTTTCAAATGTAACGCCAGCTGAATACAGTTAGCCTACTTGATTTTTGTATTCTTATTACGTAACGCCGTTACATATATTCCGTTACAACCCAACCCTGCTTCTAGGCTACTGTCCCGCAGCTCCTGCCTCTCTGTTGGACTCTGTCGTGGCGGAGCTGCTGCTGTGGTGCGGAGCGCATTAACCAGACTCTTCACAACGAAGGATCACGTCTTCTTCAAGGCAGGGAAGGTTTCGCAGTACGCAGTCTACTGTCCTGCAGCTGCTGCCTATCTGTTGGACTCCGGTACTGCACCTTACTCACGAGACGTTGTACAAAAAAAAAATGGGTGGGGGGCGAACGCAGTAACCGCTCCGCCAACGCCACAGTCACCCCCGTCGTGCGGGCCGGATGAGAATGTCTGGCAGGCCGGATGTGGCCCGCGGGCCGCCAGTTGGTGGTCACTGACCTATGAGGTTGTTGTGTTTAATATTCATGAGAATATTTGTCATTGTTCAAATGATAATAAACATTTGCATAAAGCATATTTGTCCACTCATATGTTGATAAGAGTATTAAAAACGTGACAAATATTCCTCTAAGGTACATTTAGAACAGATACAAAATGTGCGATTAATTTCCGATTAATCGAGATTAACTATGGACAATCATGCGATTAATCGCGATTAAATATTTTAATCGACTGACAGCCCTAATTTTTTTAAATGTGTATGAATACATTTTGAAAAACATTTGATCAACAAAAAAAAAGGATTTGATCAGGATCTAGACTCAGTGTGTAGTTTATTAATTAATCAATGCTCTCTACATTAGGAACACACATACCAGTGTACCAGAGGGAGTCACACACAGCTGTGCCTAGATAACCAAACAAATTGACAAGATAACCAAAATCCTTGAATCTACACACAGCAAATAAACTCAAATGACACAAAGGAAATCACACATACAGTATAGTCGATATAAAACTGTCCGCTTCAATCTGAAGAGCAACTAAAACAAAACACGGGAGTGTACCTTGTTCTGGTGAACACTAATGTTATCCACAGCATACACAGAGACCACGAAGTTCTTAAGGAGAAAACTAGTTGCTAAAACAAAACACGTTAGTGTACCTTGTTAGCTAATGTTAGCTAGCTGACATTAACGTTACACATTGCACTCATATTACTCACCGAAACCTTGTAAAGCCGGTCCCGCATGCTGGCTCTTACAGAACCGACTAACTCCCCTTTCATATAGGTACAGCTCTCAACGTGCCCAGACTTGTAGTGATTTTCACCTCGTAAAATACTTTTATTCTCATTCTGAAAGAATGTGGTGAAATGTGCTAACGTGACGGCCATCTTTATGTTGGTGACGCGTATTGTGCGAGACGAGAGACCTGTAGTTCACTGAGCGGTTTCACACGAAAAAATGTGTAACTTCACAGTTTTACGACACATTTTTATTTTTTTGACTTGCAAAATGTTCTTTTAAATTGACAAATATCATATGTGTCATTCGTGGCACAATTCAAACGGGATCAAAAGATAACCTTTCTCTCTCCATTGACTTCAATGTATAATTTTCCGCTTCCGGGGTCCCATGGAGGCTTTCGGAAGGGGAGGGACTTCGCCTCTCTATGGTCAATGTTTGTTTGCTTAAAAATGTTTGCAGTCGCGAAAGTTCTAAGCAGACATGGACAAAAAAAAGGATCAGTCTATGTGTCGAGGGGGAACTACACACCCCTAGTCCTTTACAGCCATGGTCCGGTCTGACAGCGATTAGCTGTCTGCGGGAGAGAGGAAGAGACAGATTTGTGTTCCTGAAATGTATTAAAATACGCGCATATTTAATGAGATTATGGCTCATTTGCATGGGGGGGGGGGTGCTGGGGTGCTGTGCCCCTAGAACAGGGGTACTCAAACTTTTTTGTTAAAGGTCCACTTGTGAATTGTATACAAGGTCAATGGTCCGGATCAATGCCAGTAAAGTCCCCCCCCCCCACACACCCCCGGAGCGGAGCAACGAAACTGAAATTAAGAAGCAGTTTCGGAGCGCTATGCATGTACTTTAGTCAGGAGGTTTTAAAGTGCTATATAAATAAAGTTGGATTGGATTGGATTAATCTACCTTATTTGGGGGCCCCCTTCTGGTCCAAGCACTTGCCTGTCGGTAAACTGTGCCCCTGTATACACACAGACATTCAATACATACATACATACATACATACAGTATCATGGCTTGAACTAGTGGGAGAAATGGCACTCTTTGTCTGTAGCCAATGCCTTGAACCTCGGCAAAAATGGCATTAGAAGCATTAGAAAGTCAAGGTAAACTTGTGGTTAACTTAAATGTGTGTGACACTCGCGCACACAAGTAAATATATGCACGTTCATTCTCAGAATGCGTCAGACACAAGACAATATACATTAAAGGGGACCTATCATGCAAAATGCACTTTGTGATGTCTTTTATACATAAATATGTGTCCCCGGTGCGTCGGGGAACTCACGCAGCGTCAGAAAATAAAACCCGCTCTCTTTTCCTCCGTACCCAAATCTTAAAAACAGGGGTACAACGAGCGGATACAGATTTGCTGCCAATCTGACGTCAAATCGGCAGCGGACCCACAGAAAATTGCTATCAGAAACAATGCCTGACGCGTTTTGAACGTGTTTTGGACGTAATCTCGTCTTTGTTTACATTAGCAAGCCTCACTAACACTCAGAGCTAACCTGTACTGCAGAGCACATGTGTTTAAAAAGCAGGAAATCAAAAAAGGAACTCACCTTGTGATAAACCTGCAAGAGAAAAAGCATTTGAGATCCATACTGTTTCAGAAATAATCCTTGATGTGGATAAGAACAGAATGGCGTTTTATTGCAACAGAATTTAACTTTATCTCCGGTAGAATTCTGATCAGGCATTAGCTCCACCTCCTCTTTTTTTTTCAAGCTAAGGACCCAAAATCCGCGTTTCTCTAACAGGGCTGCACAAGAGGGGTATGAGCAGTATGAGACATGGCTACAATGGGTGAACTGTTCGGTATTTTAAGCAAAAAACTTCACAGACCTATATTTGTATAGGTATGGCCCTACAATATATTTTTTTCCAATATAGCATGATAGGTCCACTTTAATTTACATCAGAATCAGATTTTTTTTAATAATTTTTTTTTCTTTTTTTATAATGGGACCCAGGGTTCGGTCCGGATTGATTTGCAGTTCGGTCCGGATCCGGTCCTTGGTCCGGAGTTTAAGAAGCCCTGCCCTAGAAATAGAATACAATTCTGTGGGACACACTGGATAATAATAATAATTAAAAAAATTATACTTTTATAATTTGTAATACTTTTTTTTGTTTTTTTTGTAATCATCTCTCAACCCCCACTTTGGGAACCCCTGCCCTTCAGCCGTCCAGCCGTGAAGACAGTTTTGAGATTTCTTCAAATGCCGTTGCCATGGCAACACAATGCTCACCATGAAACGCGGTTTTCTCATAACTTCAGTAGTGAAAATGCTCCAAATGACCCAAAACTTCACAGGTTTGGTAACGATGCAGCCATCAACACATCTAAGCGTATTACGGGGTTTCATCAAATGTCGTTGCCATGGTGACAGATAACTCGCCATCAAGTTAGTTCAAAAGTTTGCAGTTAGAATATTCTGCTGCTTGTCAAAGCCTTTTTACTTTCTTTTCTCTTCTTAATACAAATTCATTCACTACTACTTACATTTTATATCTAACTCCTTCAGCTATAAACCATTCAACTATTAAATTATTCAGCTATTTCAGGACATTGAGGAAAGAAAAGGTTTTTAAAAAAGGTATAAACAACATGTTGTTGATACCTTTTTTAAACCTTTTAAATATTAAGCTTCTTCTATCAAGCACAAGTACGAGCAAAAAAAATAGGACAGCACATGGGTGAACCTTGTTGTCCTCTCTGGAGCGCTGGGAGAGCACAGCACCAACCCCCACGTCTGAAGCGTCCACCTCCACCACAAACTGCAGACGTGGGTCCGGGAGGGTCAGTATAGGGGCCGTTGTGAAGGCCTTCTTGAGCCTCTGGAAGGCTTGGTCCGACTGAGAGGTCCACTGAAACCTTGTGTTTGGGGAGGTTAGTGCATGCAATGGAGCAGTAACAGTGCTATAGTTTCTTATGAATCGCCTATAGAAGTTGGCGAACCCTAAAAAACGCTGCACTTGCTTGCGGTTTGCAGGGACAGGCCATTCAGAGACATCATTAACCTTAGCTGGATCCATCAAAACATTGCCCACTGACACAATAAAGCCCAAAAATGAAACAGTGGAAACATCAAACTCATACTTCTCGGCCTTGACAAAGAGGTGGTAGTCCAGGAGACGCTGTAGGAACGGCGTACATGATCTCTGTGGGTCGTTTTGTCAGGGGAGAAGATGAGGATGTCATCCAGGTACACGAAAACGAAGATGTTAAGCATGTCTCGAAGTACATCATTGATCAAAGTCTGAAAAACAGCTGGGGCATTTGTGAGGCCTATACTCGTAATGCCCACTTGGGGTGTTAAAAGCAGTTTTCCATTCATCCCCCTCCCTTATTTTCACCAGATGATAAGCATTTCTAAGATCTAACTTGGTAAAGATCTTAGCACCTTGTAACTGGTCGAAAGCTGATGACATAAGAGGAAGGGGATACCTGTTCTTGATGGTAATGTCGTTCAAACCTCGATAGTCAATGCAGGGGCGAAGTGACTTGTCCTTCTTTGCCACAAAGAAAAATCCGGCTCCAGCGGGAGAGGAAGAAGGTCTAATTAATCCAGCGGAAAGTGAAGACTCCACATATTCCTTCATCGCCCGTGTCTCTGGAGCAGATAGGGAATAAAGACGACCCCTGGGTGGTGAAGAGCCTGGTAACAAGTCTATAGCACAATCGTACACACGATGAGGGGGCAGCGAGGTGGCTCTGGCCTTGTTAAAAACCTCCTTAAGGTCATGGTAACACTGAGGGACCTTGGAAATGTCAGGGTAATCAGGATCTGACATGTCTTGAATTACAGGGACAGCTGGAGGAGCAGTCAGGGAACATTTGGACGGAAAACAGGTACTTAAACATCCCTTACACCAAGCAATAGTCTTGCCAGTGGACCAGTCTATGTGGGGGTTGTGTAGGGTAAGCCAGGGGTACCCCAAAATAATTGGGTGTTCCGGGGACCGAAAAACATGAAAGACGAGAAGCTCAGTGTGACCGTCCTGGAAACTTAGCTGAAGAGGTTGGGTGTGGTGAGTTACCCTACAGAGAAGACGGCCATCCAAGGCATTACATTACATTACATTACATTGCATTTAGCTGACGCTTTTGTCCAAAGCGACTTACAATAAGTACATTCGACCAGGAAGACACAACCTTGAAGAAAACAGAATCATATAAGTATATCAGGTTTCATAGAGCCAAACATTTCAAGTGCTACTGAACTGGCTTTAGGTAATCCAGTCCTTTATTAGTATAAAAGTGCTTCGTTAATCGTTCTAACGCTCGAAGTGGAGTCGAAAGAGATGAGTTTTCAGTTTGCGCCGGAAGATGTGCAAGCTATCTGCCGTCCTGATGTCAATGGGGAGCTCATTCCACCATCTTGGAGCCAGGATAGCAAACCTACGTGTTTTCGCCGATGGGAACTTGGGTCCCCCTCGCAGCGAGGGCGCAACGAGTCGTTTGGCTGATGCAGAGCGTAGTGCACGCGCTGGGGTGTACGGTTTAACCATGTCCTGGATGTAGGAAGGGCCAGATCCATTCGCAGCACGGTAAGCAAGTACCAGTGTCTTGAAGTGGATTCTAGCAGTTACCGGAAGCCAGTGAAGGGAGCGGAGGAGCGGAGTGGTGTGGGAGAATTTAGGAAGGTTGAAAACCAGACGAGCCGCTGCATTCTGGATGAGCTGCAGAGGTCGGATGGCACATGCAGGTAGACCAGCCAGGAGGGAGTTGCAGTAGTCTAGGCGTGAGATGACGAGAGCCTGGACCAGAACCTGAGTCGCTTTCTGAGTCAGCTGGGGACGTATCTTCCTGATGTTGTAAAGCGTGTATCTGCAGCAGCGGGTTGTAGCAGCGATGTTTGCAGTGAAGGACAGGTTGTTATCTAGGGTCACACCCAGATTCCTTGCAGTCTGAGTCGGGGAAACAACTGAGGTGCCGATGTTGATTGTCAGGTCAAGAGTTGGACAATCTTTTCCCGGGAGGAAGAGCAGCTCAGTCTTGTCAAGGTTGAGCTTGAGGTGGTGAGCAGACATCCACTGAGAGATGTCAGCTAGACAAGCAGAGATGCGTGCGACGACCTGGGTCTCTGAGCGGGGAAAGGACAGAATTAATTGGGTGTCGTCAGCGTAGCAGTGGTAAGAAAAACCATGCGGGCTAATGACTGATCCGAGCGAGTTTGTGTACAAGGAGAAGAGGCACTTGCTTCCATTGGTCTTGGAAGGGGAAAGGTCTCAAGGTTCAGCTTCTTAGCCAACTCAAAGTCTATAAAACTGGTATCTGAGACAGAGTCTACCAAAACAGGATGCCTAAGAACCACAGAAGACGAAGACAGAGTGACATTTGGGAGACAACGTGAGGGACTAACATTAAGTGTAGTGCGGCTCACCAGTGCCCTCTTCTTTACTGGCGAGCCAGATATTTTAGTAGGCGACAGTTGGCGACTGAGTGTCCCCGTTCACCACAGTAGAAGCACCTGCCCTCCTGCAGGCGGCGCTGTCGCTCCTCGGGAGTCAGCTTGGTCCTGCCGAGCTGCATGGGCTCCTCCGGAACAGCAGGGGGCGACAGAGGCCCAGTAGACGGAAGCCAGGGCCTGGGGTGATTCCATGAGGACGAAGAGCTGGGCGAAGACTGCCTCTTGTGGGAGAAATAGGGAATCGCAGTGTCTCTCTCTCGCTCCTTCTCTATCAGTCGCTTGTCAATCTTAATAGTCAATGAAATTAGGGAGTCCAAATCAGCTGGAAGCTCAAGGGGAGCTAACTGATCCTTTAATGTGCCGGACAATCCATAAAGGAAAGCATCAAACAATGCTGATTGGTTCCAGTCACTGTCCGCTGCCAGGGTACGGAACTGTATAGCATAGTCAGAAACCCTCTGCTTACCCTGGCGCAATCCAACGAGTGCTCTGGCTGCCTCCCGCCCTGGTGGGATGTGCTGGAAGATCTTGGTGAAGGTCTCAGAGAAGAGATCGAGGGAGTCACAAACAGGAGACCTTCGCAGTTCGCACCCACTCTGCCGTTGCCCAAGCCTCAGCTCGGCCAGAAAGGTGGGAGACAATGTATGCCACCCTTGAACGCTCAGATGGGTAGCATGCAGCCTGGAGCTCAAAGTGGAGGCCGCACTGAGCCAGGAAAGCCCGACAATCACCGGAATCCCCAGAAAACCGCTCTGGTCGGGAGAGGTGAGGGGACAGGGTCGGAGTTGGAGACTGGACAGGAGTAGGACCCACTGGGAAAACAGGCAATGGGGGAGCTGGAGGACTTGGCTGGAGTAATAGTCTTTGGATATTTTCGACCAAATAACAGACTTGCACACCAAAAAACGACAAAACAGACTCCTGTCTCTCGGCCATCAACTTTAATTCCTGGCGAAGCCCGGTAAGTTCCTGCTCTTGGTGGTAAATCCTGCTCCCTTGACTCTGAAGAGCAGTCCGCACAGAATCCTGGTCGGCTGAGTCCATGCTGGCCAGTTCGTACAATCAAGCACAAGTACGGACACGAGCAAAAAATAGGACTCAAGAGCACAACCAGGCAATAAGGTCTTTAGTCAAGCATTTAATCCAAAAGGTAAAAATAAAACAGGCAATGATCAAAAAATGTACTGACTTGAAGTAACGAAAAACAACCAACTAAGTTGGCGGAAAACTACTAGAGAAGCAACAAAAAAACAACCAACTAGGTTGGTACAAATGCTAAGCAGCTAGAACAATAGCTTACGTCTGAAGAGAAACATGGAGCACTTTCTGCTATACAGACAAGATGAACTGGCACTGACCAAGGAAACAGCACAGACTAAATACACAGGTGAGGAGTGATCATTAGGGACAGCTGAGGCTCATTGAGACCAGAGCCATATAATAGAAGAGTTACGACATCTCCGTTCACTCCAATGGACCAGTTTTTTACAGCAATGGCGGATCGTGGAGCCTCTCAATCGTTCCCCGGAAGTTAGCTTGCCGCTAACTTCCGGGGAACGATTGAGAGGATCTGCGGCTAGCAGTCTATGGTTGCAACATAATAGACCGTTCGTGATGGACTTTTAAAGGTAAGAAGACGTTTAAAGATTTATATTGCGGATATTATCAGAACATCTGAATCAAATTAACTACACATGTGTATTAAAGGATGTTAGTGGATTATCCCTTCAATCAGTATATTTAACGTTTACAGATAACAGATTAGGCTAGAATGCCGGATAAAGTTAGCAACACACGTTAACCACGAACAGCCTATTAATCCGTTCTCCTAATGTTATTTCCTCCAACGTTGTGGAATTAGAGAAAAGGGGCTTCTTAACATGCTTTTATCCGGGGTGGAGGGAGTTACATATTTGTTAAATATAACATTGGGGCGTGTGATTGTAGTGGGTGGAGGTGGTGACCAGGTGAAATAAGGATATCCATCTTGGAGTTCAAGCTAGTATAATATAGTTAACGTTACACAATAATAAGGAAGAGAGCTATTTTTGTGATACATCGCTATTTATTTGGATTTAGAGTGGATATTTGAGACTTCTAAACAGTAAACTAAAACGTAACTGATTGGTGAGTGTTTTTAGCAGAGTCATATTATGTCCTTGTGATTCTGTTGATTATTACCTGTCTGTATTTTATGTTGCAGCTCAGCTGATTTTGGATTGATGGCAAAGGGAGAGGGACTTAAGTGAGAGTGAAAACACAAGGTACGTTTAAAATAGGTCAGCAATTTCCCATCCTATAGGTTGCTAGATGTATCTAACCCTTTCTCCTGTCTCCCTCTTTCAGCACAAGAACCCCAGGGGGATTCAATGGAGCCTGAAGACCTGCAATGAGACCCTGAGCCTGAGTCTCAACTCCAAGAGCTTTGCAAGCCTCTCCCTGTTCCTTATTTTTGATTAAATAGACGTTAAGCTTCCCGATGGTGTGGTCTTCGTTTTGTGAAAAATATGATTACCTCACATATGTTGTTAGTAGTTATACACATACCACTTCAATCTCATTAGTATGCATAGAAAGTGACAGGTCACACCTCTAAGCCCCGCCCCCTTCCGCCGGAAGTCCCACCCCCTTCCGCCGGAAGTCCCGCCTCCATAAGCCCATCCCACTTCCACCGGAAGTCCCGCCTCCACCAGCGGAAGTCCCGCCCCTCCATAAGCCCCGCCCATTCCGCCGGAAGTCCCACCCCCACTTCCGGTTTTTCAAAAATAAAATTAAAAAATATTTTAAAAAATGATAAAATAAAAATGCTGCCCCTACCAGTCGCCCCCACTTCCGGTTTTTCAAAATAAAATTAAAAAATATTTTTAAAATGGCAGTATTGACTGCAACTTACAAATACTTGCAAATAACATGAAATATACAACCATATATTTTAAAAGTAATGTCTCAGCTCTAAAGAGCAAGGTCCCGCCACCTAACCACTTCCTGTGCCCCTGTATACAGCAGTATTGACTGTAACTTACAAATACTTGCAAATAACAAGAAATATACAACCATATATTTTTAAAAGTACTGTCAATCTCACTAACTCTCTCTCGCTCTCTGCTATTCTCTGCCGTGAAAAGTTTGGTGAACAGTCAAGACAGGTGTGGGGACCATAAAACCCCCAGACATCCTCTGCGGGACAAATGGTGGGGCGATGGGGAGGGGACACACACACACACACACACACACACACACACACACACACACACACACACACACACACACACACACACACACACACACACACACACACACACACATACACACATCCCCCACCACTCACCCCTCATCCGTTAGGGTTAGATAAATAAGAGCCATTCGTCTTTCTCACTCTTC